TTCTTTTAGATTTAAAAAATGAAGAAATTAAGGCAAATAAAATAATAAAAGTGAAAAGTGCAAGAGCGAGAGCGAGAAGAGTAAAGCGCAAAGAAACAAGATTCACAGTTGAAAATTTCCTGGCTTCCGCTACTTAAATTCAACCAGTTCACGACAAGGCGAAAACCACCAGATTTCGATTTTTTTTCTTTCCGAATTTCTCACCGGCGGAGGTTCTATGTCGAGCGAGAGAGCAGCTGTTGAGTTGGCCAAGGGCGTTAACGGCCTCGAAAAAATAATCCTCCGCGAGACGCGTGGCAGCTCCGCCGAGGTAATTTTATCTTTTATTTATTTTTGTTCTTTTTCTTTTTAGATTTTTTTTAAATTTCTGGATCTGCGTTAGTCTTCCTTCATTTCTTTGAATTGACCTTTTATTCTTTTTTGTTGTTGTTGTTTTCCGTAGATCTTTGACTGTTTAATACTGATTTGAGTTTCCTTTTAGGTGTATTTGTATGGAGGTCATGTGACATCTTGGAAGAATGACCACGGAGAGGAGTTGCTCTTCGTCAGTAGTAAGGTGCTTTTCAGTGACAGTAATTTTCTTGACTAAATATGATGTATAGTGTTTAAAATATACTGTTCAAGTCCTTTGAATGGGTGCCTCTTTTAGACCTAATCTTTATTTTCTAATTAAATTCTGCGTTAATGCCTAATAGTTGATATTGCGGAAGAAAATCTTCATCTGTGTGAGGAAGATGGAATAACTTTTGAGTACTAGATTTAGGTGTAATGGTTCTAAGGTCTTTAGCCTCTCAGGGATGCTTAATTTGTGTGAGTGCATTTATGGATATGATCTATTTCATCCTCTAATGGAAGCAGATCTGCTTCCCCTGTTGCCTGGTCAAACCTGTGATCTGTCGGTTTTTGATTGTGAACAATTGTAAAAGTTAGGTAGAGTATGTATTTTATAGATTGTAAACCTTTCCGAACCATTTTTTAAAGCATAAAGAGCTGATTCGTTAGTTATCGCAATAACATGAACCCATGGATTAACTGTTCAGAAAAACAAGATTACAGGAACGCCATGTTTAAAGAAATTGAATGAATTATATTACTTTCCTTGAAACTCCTTGCACTATTATGAAATGAAGTTTTTCTGGTATTTTTGGGAAATCCTTTTGATCAGTAACTTGTTTTCTTTTCCATTCCATTTAGTGACTATATAAGGTAAATGGGAAGAGAACATTTTTTGGTTTTATGAATATAAAATGATAAATGGCTTGAGTTATTTAGTGGAATATGCTTAACAATAAGAATGCATTAATCTATAGTTGCTGTACAAAATGATCACTTGCATGTGCAAATGCAAGTATTTTAGAAGACAACACTTGGTAGTTATGTGCAATTTTATTTCCGATGTACTAAATACTTCTCTTTTGCAGACATTGTTCAAGCCTCCTAAGCCAATTCGTGGAGGAATTCCTTTATGTTTCCCCCAAGTATGTGCAGATCTTGTATTGTCCTACTTGTTTAGACCATGATCATCCTGGTCATGAAAAAATGCTCTGTGTTTGCAGTTTTCAAATCTTGGCCCTCTTGAGTCTCATGGTTTTGCCAGAAATAAATTTTGGAGCATTGACACTGACCCGCCTGCTTTTCCAACGAACTCATCCAGTAAAGCACACATTGATTTGATCCTTAAGCCTTCTGAAGAAGATATGAAGATTTGGCCTCACAGGTATTATAATTTTTTTAATATTTTAATTTCATTCGCGAAGAGAGATCCATATTCAAATCTTCATGGCATTATTTTCTTGATCAATTAACTTGTCATCGTGACTGTCTTTTTTATCTCAGCTATGAGTTCCGCCTGAGGGTAGCTTTGGGACCTGGAGGAGATCTAATGCTAACATCTCGCATCAGGAATACTAATAGTGATGGGAAGCCGTTTACATTTACATTCGCGTATCACACATATTTTTCTGTTTCTGATATCAGGTAACTAGAAGGATTTGTTTTATATTTTATCTTTTCTGTGATAAGATACTCTTTAGTGTTACTACTTCCAGGTTTATATATGAATATCTTGGAGTCAATTTTTTTGGCATGCATAGGTCACACTATTTTCTTCCTTCTCTCCTTTTCATATCCCAGTTCATTAACATCAACTGTTGACAGCTAAGCTATTATACTTTATCATTATTAAGTTTTATCGAGTAAACTATCATTACTAATGACATCTTTCATATGCCTAGTTCTAGTTTATGTCGGTCTGAAATTATGTCTTCTATTGCAAGCATGTCTTCTTACTTCCAGTAGTGGAAGTAGCAAATGATCTTCTGCCTGCTTACCCAGCACTTTTCAATTATGAATTTTCACACAATTCTTAGCGTCAATAATAAGGTTTATGATAATGTAACAGAAACACTTCTTAGGTCCCCCCCCCCCAAAAAAAACATTTCTTTGGTTTAGATCACTTAATAAAATACTATTTTTCATAATTTCTTTTTGGATATAAGTTTTGTTTGCTTGTTTTGTTTTCTTGATCCTTTATTTTGAATTTTTGTATTCAGGAAGTCAACTGTGGATATATAAAATCATTTAGTTTGCCTTTTAAATATAACTGCTTTCTAAATATTGAGATGGTTGTTAGTTTAATCGTCGCTCTTATATTTTCTCTTACTATTGAATTGTACCTCAACTAGTAAAACTAATTAATGGTACAATATGTTTGTTGGTGACTTGACGTTTGTCTCATGTGATGATTATAACATTACTATTGAGCAAGAGTTCATATTATCAGGGTTTAAAAGAACTTTGTTCCTTCTTTACAGTGAAGTTCGTGTTGAAGGATTAGAGACACTTGATTATCTGGATAATTTGAAGAGCAGGGAGCGATTTACTGAACAGGGAGATGCAATAACATTTGAAAGAGAAGTGAGTTTGTGATTGCTTTGCCCCTCAATCTGCTCACACTTAACCTAGTTTACTGTTAACATATTCTTATTTCTGTTTTGAAGGTGGACAAGATATATCTCAGTACACCTACAAAAATTGCAATTCTGGATCATGAAAAGAAGAGAACCTTCGTATTACGCAAAGATGGGCTCCCTGATGCTGGTGAGGTTTATTTTCTCCAAGTTTTTTATAGATGTACGTATTATTTATATGGAGTTTGATTATGTTAAGACTTCATAGAGTTGGAAAATATTATCATATTGTTCATTACTTTTTAATAGTAGAGGTACTTTATCCTTTTTATATGCATAAATCTATGAGAACAGACTATAACAAAATTATGGATTATGAGCTGTTCCTTGCTTTAATATTGTTACTTTTTGCATGTAGTGGTGTGGAATCCCTGGGATAAAAAGGCGAAGGCTATGGCTGATTTCGGAGATGATGAATACAAGCATATGCTGTGTGTGGAGGCTGCTGCTATTGAGAAACCCATCACGTTGAAACCTGGTGAGGAATGGAGGGGAAGGCTAGAACTTTCTGCTGTTCCATCCAGTTACTGCAGTGGCCAACTTGATCCTCAGAGAGTCCTCCAGGGTAGCTGAAGATCACTTACCATGGTCAATATATGTGTACAGGTAATCATGCTGAATGTTTAAAAACCTGTACTTTATTTTTTTTTACGAATGTCAGGTGATAAATTGTTCATTGGCCTATACGTAATAGTTTGGGTCATTACTGTTATCTTTCTGCATTTATCATGAAGCCCTGATACATGTGTCATATCAGATTCAACTTTAAACTATGATGCTACTTCCATGCCGCTTCTGTTTTTTGGTATCTGTTCCGGAATTTAATTTTCAACCTAAAATAGAAACCAAACCTCAAATTATGAAAATAAAAACACGCTACAATGTTCGGTACATGCATCATAGTTCTTTTTCTTTGATGTGTTTCAGCAGAAGAGGTTTCATTTTAACCTTTACATAAAGAAACTAAAATGTGTAGGATACATATAACATCCTGGCTCTCTTAGATGCCTGTAACCTTTTGTGTTTGTGGTCATCTGCAGTTGGTTTCTTTTTTTGCAGTCGGTGTGCCTGATCTCGTTGTTGAGTACAATTGTTGTTATTGCTGACCCTTTTTTATTATCCACTTCAATTTATGCTGCTTCGCCTATTCATACCTAGTCAATAATCCCTTTGGTGGTGTTATTGGTTTTTATTTTAGCGAAGCGAACGGAATCATTTATAATTACGATGCAACATGCAGGTACCATGAGGCAGCATGTTGTGGATGAATCCTGGCTTTTTTGGTGGATGAATGAAATAATGAGCTTACTGCATTGTGGAACAATGTTATGACTGTTATCAGTTACACTCTTAGCAAACGACAATATTGTTTTGTTGCTGATATTGAAGCACTGTTGGCTATTTCAGCTGTGGATGAGCTTTTATTTGTCTATGGGCTGTCTTTTGATTTGTAAGAACTTCCCTATTCAAATTGAGTTGGATTTTTTTTTCTCTCTTTTAAATCTTCATTTTATTTTTATTATAATTTTTTTTGCTTAGGGTTTAAGGTGGGGCTTTGCATAAATTAAATTTTCATTATAATACATTACAAATTATGGCTTTTGGGATCCACCACTTGTTCATGAATTAGGGTAAGGGAATTACATTAACATATATTAGATTAGATATTGTATTAGATAAGAATTGCTTTTGTTGGTTTGGTAATTTTTGTGCCTCATTTATTTGTTGATACTTGAGTATTTAAATTAAAAATTTTATTGATATAATTATTGATATTCGTTTTATTAGTCAACTAATTTGGATTGGGTATTGTAAAGTTTATTATAGATCAATCTTCACAACCTAATTTTTTTTTCCTTTAACAGTATCAAATTTTGAACTCGGCTTTTTTTTAGAGGATCTCGTGTCTTGTTTCGTTTAAGTTTATTGATATATTTTATGATTGGTGATCAAAACAGAAGCATGTTAAAAGTTGAGTGACTAAAATTATAGTTTGCCTTATAATTTTGGTTAAATATTTTCATATCTATCTTAAACTTTTGGGAATATGTTCAAAGGTTGTTTATGCTTAAACCATGGAGAGGTCAATGATGAAGTGTCGGGTCCATTGAAATATTCTCCTTTCTTTGATTTAAACGAACCCGAAGAATCTACTTCTCTTATTCCTTCACCGCCGGATTGATTATAGCCCTTGGATTGAGAGTTCTTCACCACCTTCTTCTTGCTCGAACCGCCGCCGATGCTCAGTGTCAGCTCGATTTCACTATCTTCGTCTCCGACCGGTCTCTCCAGATCGAAGCCCTTTTCCGTTTTAATGGCTCGGATGTGATCCCCAGAGCAACTGCCATTCCTTCCCCACTTGTTTGTGCCGATCTCTTTTTTGAGTTCATCCATTAGCATCTTTTGAACATTGTACAGTCGATGAAGTTCTCGTACCTACAATTTAATTCACGATCCTTGCTCATCCCTTCGGTTAATTCAATTAATTTTTTTTAAAGAAAAGTATGTAGTGCAATATATTTATATAAAACAGCTTCTCATCTCTGTAAATCGAATTTAAAATAAAATTAAAAATTAATCTACATGCAGGTGAAATTGAGATAAATTTGTTTACCTTTAAAACTTATAAGAAATTAAAAAATGTTTAAATAAAAAAATAAACTAGAAATCTAAAATTTACAATTTAAAGATTTTTCCATGTATTTAGAGAAGAAATAAAGCAACATCTAGTCCCTAAACTTGGTAACTTCCCAACTTGGTCATTGAACTTTATTTGCCCACACCGATCCTTGAATTTGAATTTTTGATCATTTTGATTACATATTACATTGAGATTGTGCAATATTTTATAGTTTTCTAGTCGCGTGTCATCATAATGAACGAAAATAGAAAAAGTTATCAACTTTAAAAGTAATGTGGATGAAAAAAAAGTCCAAGGTCCAAATTGAAAAAAGTTAGCAAGTTCATGGACAAAAATGGAAAGGAAAGAAAGAAACTTGAGGTTTTCTTGGTCCATACCTGGTGTTTGAACATCTCTTCATGCATTTGCATAGTGTTCTTGATGGAATCCATGTTGGTAACCCTAATTTTCAGCACCCCGACTTTTGAACTTGCTTTAAAATAATCATCCATGAAATGCTGACAAAAACTCCGTGAATTTGCTATCGTGGTTATCCCACGGTACCCGACTTTGGTTCCCATGGCCTGAAAATATTGTTAAACATAAGATTTTATAAAATTTTAGAACAAACAAACTTAAAAAAATTTAGGAAACATATTATTATTATTATTAAAAAATATGAAAGAAAATACTCAAAATATATAAAAATTTAGAAATTTCAGGGTGAACAGGGACGAAGGGACGGAAGCAGGATTTTATGTTGTGACGAACTTGAACTTATAAAATTCTAGTAGGTCGAACTTAAACTTATAAAATTTCAAGTGAGACAAAAACAGATTTTCAACAAAAAATACGTAGAAAAAATCTAAAATATAAGATAATTTTAAAATTTTAAAGGGACAACTGCCCTCGTCTGTTACTCTCGGTCCATCCTTGAGGATGACTATTTTCACATATCTTTTCGATCCATCATTGGATGGAGATATATATTTGATATCGTGAATAGAGTAAATTAAGTTAGTAGGATTTATTTATGATAGCTATTTATAGGATTCGATCCGTATTAATCTACTAAAGAATCGAATAACGTCCATTACACTAAAAATTGATTAAATAACTCAAGCAAGAACAGGGTACAGAGTGTTTGAAATCAACTGTAAACAGATCAAACAATCAGAGACAATTCATCAAACACTAACGGATCACTCAAAAACTCCAAAAAAAAAAAAAAATGGGCCATGAGCCAATCTCCATGCGAAAACAAACTAACAAAAGATCAACACAAGAGAGTCGATGAATTCGATACGCATAGTGAGTATTTACCTGCAAGAGAAAGTTTCTTGAAAGAAGCAATTCATTTAACGAAGCTGTTCGGAGCTCAAGCACCTGATGCTTTTCCCATCCGTATGAGCAGATCTCGTGATCAAGAAGCAAATGCACTCAGATCAGAGCGGCTAACAACGATGAAACCCTTTTGTTCTTTTGGGGTCAAAAATAAGTAAAGACAGGCGGCCAAAAGGATTTATTGTTTAAGCCATTGATACAGATCTTCAAAGTTTTCAAGGTTTGTTTTCTTAGTGAAAATGAATCAGGGTTTGACAGGCTGTGAAAGTGGCAAGAGCAAGGGGAAAAAAAGCTGGATTAGCAATGTGTTTGTAGGAATAATATTATTTTTTTTTCCGGGAGAGAGCAAGCTCTATAAGTGGGAATCTCTAGATTAATTTGATTGATTTATGCAATTTTTTTTAAAATAATTATTAATAGAAGTGAAGTTGAATTTTTAAAATTTTAGGGGACGGATTTGAACTTATAAAATTTCGGAGTCAAAAACTGACTTTAAATAGAAAATACATAAAAAATCTAAAATATATAGTAATTTTAAAATTTCAATGGGACGACTATTCCCACCCGCCCCTTTATCTATCCCTTGAAATATCTATTAAAAAAACATTCAAACTAAAATACATGTGTGTGAGAGAGAGAAAGAAAGAGAAAAGAGTTTATAAATGGTAGATTTAAACTTAAAATGTTTGTCATTAATCTAAAGGTTTCGTTGGACCAAATATTTAAATTGTTTATATGTGTAACTCTTGTGTTATTCTAGCTACCATGATTGTGGGAAGCAGGTCACTAGTGTTTAATTATGTTAAGTTTTCTTACATACTTTGGCATAAGAGTTTTTATCAATAGGGCATGAATATCCGCTCAGTTGGTAGAGCACAAGGTTCTTAATCTTGAGGTCGTGGGGTCGAGTCCCACAGAGGGCATTTTATAATTCAGAGGTCTTCTACGAAAGCTGCTCTCAACCTGGTGTTGGGGGCAGCCTACTATCTTACCTCCCCCTTACCCCATTGCATATGGGAACAAGGGACAGCCATTTACATGACCATTATCGATAGACCAGATAGATGTGATTATTGTCAATAGCCCGTCTAAGATTTTCATAGAATATAATTATCTTGTCATATTGAGAAAATTGATATAATCTATTTTGTTATTAGTTAAATGTAAATGTCCAACAATTATGATATTTTGTAATTAACAATATTTAAATTAAATGATACTTTCATTGGAATTTAACCTCTACAATTATTTCATTCCTCTAATATGGTGTGTGTGTGTATATATATATTAAAAGGAAAGAGGTGAAATGAGACAATTCTGTGTTTCAAAGGCACCACCTGGCCTAAGTTATTGCCAATTTAAGCACATTTGCATGTTCCTCTTTTTCTGGGTCCACAATTTCCCCCATTTTCTGCCATGTTTTATAAATATTTTAATTTTACAGTAAAGAATGCAAATGGTCCCGATTATAGGGTACTACTTTATTAAGTTCGTCGATTATTAAAAGCTATAAAATGATCATTCTATTATGGAGTGTTGCTTTTTTGAGTCCGTCAACTACTCATTATGTTCTAGACTAGTCATTTTTCGTTAAAAAAATTGGCAGTTGCTTAAACTTGATGATTGGGATTTGATAGTCGTTTGAGATTTTGTGATCGAATTTTATCATATCACAATTAACAAGTTAACGTTCAGCTCAGAATATCATTTATTTTTTAATGGAAAATGACGAGTTTGAAACATAATAAATAGCCGTGATATTTTGTAACTTGATGATTGGGATTTGATAGTCGTTTGAGATTTTGTGATCGAATTTTATCATATCACAATTAACAAGTTAACGTTCAGCTCAGAATATCATTTATTTTTTAATGGAAAATGACGAGTTTGAAACATAATAAATAGCCGGTGATATTTTGTAACTTTTAATAGTCGAGAGACTCGACAAAGCAACCCTCTATAGTCGAATGACTACTTTGTAACTTCTAATAATCGAGTGACTTAATAAAACAACATCCTATATAACCGACGGACAATTTTTGTTCTTTACCCTTAATTTTAGTTTAACTAAACATAGTTTAAAAATAAAAATAAATAAATTTAATGATATTGGAGACGAACGATGGATATAATTATTTGTTTATTATAAATATAAAATGTGTTGGTGATAATTATTCTTCATTATCATACAAGTGAAGATGATGTAATGTTCGGAAAGTTCTACTGTACGACAGCCTTAATATACGATTAAAAAAATGCGTTACTAGAAATGTTATTTTTTTTAACATTTCCGGTAAAATATTACCTAAAACATTATTTTTTTTTACCTAAAACATTAATTTTTTTCAATATTTCCAGTAAAGTATCAAATATTTATATTTCCGGTAGAAAAAATATGTTTTAGGTAGTGTTTTATCAGGTATGTTAACAAATCCGGTAAAGCGCCCAATAATAACATTTCCGGTAAAAAAAATAATGTTTTAGGTAATTTTTATCGAAAATGTTAAAAAAATAATATTTTCAATAACACATTTTCTTAACTGTATCCATCGTAAATTCAATTCAAGTCCAAAAACCATTTTGTAAATTCAATTCAAGTCCAAAAACCATTTTGCCTTAAATTGTTATATCGAAACATAGTTCAACAATCTCCCCCTTTTTGATATAACAAAACATTTGAAAAATTGTTTTTGACAAAACTCCCCCTTAATAAAATGTTTAATGAAAAAGATACTAATTGTTGGAAAACATATGAAAATGTTAAGCTCCCCCTTTTTCATTAAGAAATTGAATTTTTCAAACCAAACTTCTCCCCCTTTTTGTTATATCAAAAATAATTCAATCTTTGAAGTTCTAAAATAACATTGGAGAATAAGTGATAAAATTGACATTAAAAAAAAATAATTTGAAAAATTAAAGCTCCCCCTTAATAATAGCATTCCAAAAAAAAAAAATTAAGCTTTTAAGTACTTGACACTTAAACAAAATTGAATTTCAACAAAGAATAACAAACATGTTAGTAGCACATGAAATTCAATATATCCAAGACTAAAACACCTACCTTAGAGAGGTTTTCTTGTTTACACTTCTTATCCTTTTGTAAAGGGGAAAGGTTCTAGCTTAGCCCGTATAAAAGCTAGGGAAAGGTTCTAGTTTAACCCGGAAAAACTAGGGAGTTGTAAGGTTATCTCTTTGTCCTCAAAAGAAAGAACAAATTAGTGAATTTGTTGGAAAATCCTTAGTGAGGAGCTAAGGTAGTGGACGTAGACTTTGATTGAGAAAGTCGAACCACTATAAATCGCTGTGCAATTCTCTATCTTTCAATCTCCTTACTCCCTAAACACAAAACCGTTCCGACCCCTCTTTGCAAATCGTTCCGGTTGTCGTTTCGAGCTTCCGAAAATCCTAACAATTAAAGTTTGGTTTGAAAAATTCAATTTCTTAATGAAAAAGGGGGAGCTTAACATTTTCATATGTTTTCCAACAATTAGTATCTTTTTCATTAAACATTTTATTAAGGGGGAGTTTTGTCAAAAACAATTTTTCAAATGTTTTGTTATATCAAAAAGGGGGAGATTGTTGAACTATGTTTCGATATAACAATTTAAGGCAAAATGGTTTTTGGACTTGAATTGAATTTACAAAATGGTTTTTGGACTTGAATTGAATTTACAAAATGTTTTTGGACTTAATTGAATTTATTCAAAATTTACAAAAATAATTCAAAGTTCTTTTAATTTAAAATTGAGCACAAAAATGTTTTTATGAATAGTAATTTACTATTTGAACAGTAAATTACTATTTGAACAGTAAATCACTCTAAATCGCTTTGTCCTCAAAAGAAAGAACAAATTAGTGAATTTGTTGGAAAATCCTTGGTGAGGAGCTAAGGTAGTGGATGTAGACTTTGATTGAGAAAGTCGAACCACTCTAAATCGCTGTGCCATTTTCTATCTTTCAATCTCCTTACTCCCTAAACACAAAACCGTTTCGACCCCTCTTTGCAAACCGTTCCGGTTGTCGATTCGAGCTTCTGAAAATCCTAACAACTTTGTAAACCCCAAATTTATTTTGATGCCAAAAATGTTCTTATCTTAGCTAATTTTCGATTTTTAATTCGATTTTAATTCAATTAATGATGTCATTATTACGATATTTTAGAAGTCACGTGTTTAAGCAGAGACGGACACAAGACATTATGTTAGGAGGGTTGAATTTATAAAATCTTAGGGGGTGA